TGATGGTACTTTCTACTTGCACATTTTATGGACAACAATAAGATAGCTAGGGTAATGAAGGGACTGTAAAATAATAAAAAAAAAAGACTTAAAGACTATCTAGTTTTCAGAGTAAAAGATAAATAAATTCAAAAATAATCCTACTTTTTATTATTCTAATATTTGGAGTATTAGGAACAAACTAAAGGAGTTCAGGGCTCTAGCCGAAACACGAGACTATGACATAACTGGAATTACTGAAAGTTGGTAAATACTGATAACAGGAATTCCATGTCATAAATTATATAATTGTGATAGATTTGTTTAAAAGAAGATACGGGATGAACTGTAGCCTTATTATAACTGCATTTGTTTAAATAACCTTCCCACCAACTGTGTTTTAACGTACATTAAGAACTTCTACTTGCTAGGATTATTTTAATGGATTCTGGTCGTGAAATGTATAAAGTGTTATGATGAGTAAAGACAGTTTTGAAAGCTTACTTTAGTTTTCTTGAGACTATGCTGTTCTTTTTGTCCACAGACTTATTACAAATGTTCAACTTCTAATTTTTAAACAAAGGATTATACAAAATAATTGTAATTTCACGATAAACTCAATCTCATTATAATTACATTTTGACTACAGATAAGAGTTTTGTCTTAAAGGTAATTAATATTTTTGTAATATTCTTTAAATAGTAAGGTATTACAATGTTTTTTTAGAAGTGTTTAATCAAATAACTTATAAATTGTATTATCTTATTTAATAAACACTCAGAATCATTTCTATACGTTTCTTTCAGACTATGATCAGTATAGTCCTGTTAATAAACATTATTGTATTTAATTGGAATTTAAGTATTTCTATTAAGAGATAACTTACAAGTCAAATCCTTTTGTTAAAAGTTTCATATAATGTGATAAAATTTATAGCATTTTTTATACTGAGAATGGCAACACTGGTGACTTTCAGTGATAGTTTAAATATTAATAAAACTTTTACTTAGTTAAAAAAAGATCTGTGTGTGTGTGTGTGTGACTGAATGGATTGTTTATATCTTTGAATCTGTCGAACAGTTTCTGGGATTAAGACTACTATTAGCACATTCGTGGTAAATATCCCACAGATAAAAACTTAATAAAAGCAAACGTACAACATCTTAATACAACACTACATTATTTTATTATAAACAGTCATATTTGATGTAATGAACATAATCTATAGACAACAAAGGACACCCATCTTAAACTCCAACAGAGAACTTAGCCTGAATTAACAGCTAATAATCCTGTTAGAAAAATGTCTTAAATGGAGCCTAACCTGTCTTTTTTTTCAGATCTTAAACTTGTATCCTCTCATTCTGTTAACTTCAGATTAGAACATCAAGAAATCATTGGTGTTCAACTTGTTCATCTCCCAGATAATCTTGGAAAATTTATATAAGATCACTTCTTACCCTTCTTTTTTTTTCAAGAGATGATAACGTATCTCCTTAAGATAACCCTTCAATCCCTGGAACCATCCTAGGAGCCCCTTCTCTGAACCCCTTCCAATACGTCAGTATCCTTTCTTAAACAGAAGACCAAATGAACACACAGTATTCCGCATGAAACGTAGCTAGTGATTTGTGTTATTTAACTTGTAATTAATATAGCTAAAATTATATTAGTTTTACAACTACAAACAGTGCACTGCTTCTATGTGAGTTATCCATCACTTTTCTTCAGTAATGAAGGAACCATTATTTCAAAGATATCCACTTTTATGTTGGTGTTGGTCTAAGTTTGAAAAGAATTATTATTTTAAACAAATCAAGTCCTAACAGGCTGCTGTTCATCTATTATATACCCCCTCCTCTTTTGAAAAAGTCTGTCATTTGTAAAATTTAAATAAATTATAATATGGAATATAACAATAATTTACATTATCAGTGTTCTCCAAGCCTAACCAAGTTTCAGTAATTCCTAATGTGGAATATAACAATAATTTACATTATCAGTGTTCTCCAAGCCTAACCAACTTTCAGTAATTCCTAATGTGGAATATAACAATAATTTACATTATCAGTGTTCTCCAAGCCTAACCAACTTTCAGTAATTCCTAATGTGGAATATAACAATAATTTACATTATCAGTGTTCTCCAAGCCTAACCAACTTTCAGTAATTCCTAATGTGGAATATAACAATAATTTACATTATCAGTGTTCTCCAAGCCTAACCAACTTTCAGTAATTCCCACAATATTATAGTTTTATCCCTAATACCCCTAACGTTAGAAGTAACAAGTCAGTTTATAATGGAATTATATTATTAAACTATTAAACTTAAATCTCTCTCTATATCACTTTCACCATTGCTCTAGCTACGTCTTGTTTATTACTAATTGTACCCACACCAATAAGTAAGTTCAGTTTACACCAGATTTAACAAATATTTTTAGACATCCTGCTACTGATAGTACTAGCTACAAGTCCAACTACCCCACCTGTTGCTTTAAGAATATCCTTGTTGATAAGTAATTCAATTCAGCATGAAGCCCAAGGGAGCACTCCCTAAAGGGACACACACATTTATTCCACTCCCTAAACCTTTTAAGAATTTTTTAATACTTTTTAATCAGTTTTTCTGATTTTTTCAATTTCCAAAATCATTTGTTTTCTAAGCACTACCAAAAGAAAATATTCCTTATTACCTGCAACTAAGCTAGTAACACCCTCTCTGACATCCTGTACTTTAGCAGCTGGCAAACAAGTTATAGTCCACATCTGTACATTTTCCCCACTAAAAATATCTTTATAAGTATGTTTAATGTGAATAATATCTTCTGTGTATACCTCTTATCATCTCATCATAACATCCAAAGATTCAAATCTATTAATAAACTGTACCTGAATTTTAAATAATATTAACCCTAACTTTTCACCACTGTGAACCTTCAACTCATTATCTCACTGTCATCCAAAGTAATGTCTACCCAAACTTTTGCCGTTTCCTGTCTTGCTTCCCTCACTTCTTCTCTTAATCTATAATTTTTTACCCCTCTAATGGGACAATTTTTTCAAGCTACATCTAACCTATATTCCACTCTTGAACTCCTGTAAAATGGTTGCCAGCACTACTGCCAAAAAAATAACTCAATCCATATGTCAAACACTTTCATAGAAAAACAAAACTGTCTATTCAGAATTGATTAACCTATCAATCCCAGATAATATTGTATTTGTAAATTTCAATAATATCATCCCATATTCGGTTTTTTCCCAAGGAAATATGAGTCAAGAGATTTTAACCTGCCCACGTAAGATAACTCTTCCACCTCTGAACTCTTTTTCAGTACGTCAATATGTTATCTTAGACAAGAACATTTATACAGCACAAAGTATTTCAATTCAAGTGAGGCCTAACCAGTAATACTACTAGTACTGAGTAGTACTTTAGTAGTAATTCATTCAAACAAAATTAAATATATACATACGATCTAAAATTATAATAGTTTTACTACTAATAATAATTTACTATGATGTACTAAATTATTTATTTGGTGTATCACCACGTTATTTTAATTTTTAATACACAAGTTTTCGGCGCATTTACTCGAGCCTTCCGCAGTTGCAATTGCAAGACGATTAGTAAACAAAATGAGAATTCTCTAATACTAATATATCAACATTTTCAATATAGCTAGATAAGCCTAGGAATTTAATATCTAACAATTAAATCCTGGGTCTTACTGTTGTTATTGTGAAATTCATCAACTTTCCAAATTTTAATGACTAACCTCCTCTTCCAAGTTCCAGCATCTATTACTTTTTTGAACGACACTCCCTCTAACGTAGGTTTTCTAAAGTTCCCAGTTTTTTTTAATAAATATATTAAATTGTCCCAGTTTCTCTATGCTTCATTGTGAATTTTATATGTACGATTTGTCATTATACGCAGCTCTTTTAACTTCTATTTGGAGAATCACTTGAAAAAGTAAAATTATACATGTTATTTCCTTCTCTTATACGTTTTCTTAGCCTAACCTGTCACTGGGTGGCCGTAGGTATCAAGATTTGAAGATCTAACTAGTAGCGATAAAAAAAAAACGAAGTAGAAATTCTTTTTTACGTAGATTCAAAATAACTTAGATGCGGATTTTATTTTATTTATTAATTATATAAGCTTATAATAAATTTTGTTTGTCTAGGATTTTAAACATGCGATGCGATAAACATCAGATCACTTAGCCAAAAGTATGTTATTGTAATTTAAACTGTTTCAAGGCTAGTACAGTGTCAATCCGTATGGGTGTATGTGGGAGAATCCCAGTTTTTCATTCTGGTAACTGTACTCTTACGACGTATATTGCCCAGTTTGGTTAAAGTGCCAAACTAGGTTTGTTGTTTTAATCACAAAGCTACATCTGAGCTGTATATCGTGGATATCGAACTATAATTTTAACACTAGCCAAACTAGAAATATTTATTACTTTTTTTGTTCTATACATTTTTGTAGCATAACACAAAGATTCGTCTTTTTTTTTTCCACACACTTTGTAGAAAATATAACAAATATTATAGGCTTACACTTTGTTTGGCGCCTTAACTAATACAAATCATTACAGAATGTATCGTTTCGATAGTAAAGGGCACTGAATGCAAGATCATTATATTCTGAAGAACTGCTCCAATGGCAGAAGAGAAACCTCAAGTTATCAGCATTAGTCCAACTACTGGATTAGAAAAAATAACATTGTAACAACTCGAAGAGTTTGCCTCTCTTTGGCTTAAGATATGTGGGCAAATAAATAAGACTGATGCTCAGACAAGAATGGTACCTCGAAATTTCTCTGACAGGAATACGTCTTAAAAATCACCAGTCTTGATCTTCCATTGGAATCATGCAAGTGAACTATTTTTAAGACAGTATTATCAATATTCTAGTAACAATGGTTCATATCAATGTTAATTTTTTATCTATATAATGAAATAGGCAGATTGTAGTTTATTTAACGTTAACATTTTAGGCTCGTTCTCTATAGATATACAAATTTAATTATATCGCTGTTCAATAGTAAAAAAAATAAAGATATTTGTAATACAATTTTTTTATTTGTATTATATATATATATATACACCAATTCTATTTAATTTAACAAAAACTAGTTATTATTATTAGAGGCAATCATAACATAATCCCATGAGGAAAAGTTCACAGTACTTTTCTCGTCAAAGCCAGATTGGAGTGTTATTTTAAATAAAGTTAAAATAAACAACTAAGTAGCATACGTTAAAAAAACAGCAGTAGGGTGCTGCCATCTGGTTTTCTTTATATGTAGTGGTTGAAAAAATAAACAAATACAAGATAGCAAAAGGTACTATATTAAAACCAGTATTAAGTAAAAATAGAAAATGAATTATAATAGGAATTAAATAAGAAAGTATTAATAGTACGATTTTTTTTTCTATTTACCATTTTTAAAGATTTTATGTCAAACGCCAACTCATTAAGAAATGTTGTTAACCCTCTTTTTATAATTGGGTTTGTGATACTGGCCCCATCTATTTTTTATATGTAATTAACTTAATACAAATATAACAGCACTACTGATGTTTTATTTATTTTCCCTTTCTTTGGGTTTTGCTCTATAATTAATACTTTAGATATTCGTATATTCATTTTGTTTTACATGTGATTTGCATATGGTCGTTATTTTCCTGCCTGTTTATCCTATACAGAAACTTTAGTAGTCTTAAACATTCTATTTTATACCCTGTGACATTGTTATATTTTTCATTATTATATAACTTCGGGAGAAAATTTTTAATGTTGGTTCCTGGTATAGATAATTTGTTTGTTTTTGCTTTTATACTTAATTTGTACCACAAACTACTTAATTTTTCACTAATAATACTTACAACTGATATTGATCAATAAATACTTTTCTTTTCTTGCTCTTCCTGGATACGTTGGTTCTATTCACGATGCGTATTTCATGAGTAAATAATATTAGCTATAAAAACCTTACAGAAAATATATTTAAAAAATTAATATTATGTCAAGATTGTTTTGCAGTACTGCCTATAGGCTATGAAAAAATAATTATCAATCCAATTTTCATTAAATGTTTGCGATGTTTTTTACCCTGGTCTTGCGCTTATTATTATTTCTTACGTTTACGTTTGGCTGAATAATTTTACAACATGCAACAGTTAAAACACTATATTTGTCACGTTCTAAAAAAATATCGCTGACAAATGTCATAAACTTGATGCATATTACATAACTTCGAAAGCTTCCTCCATTAAAATACTGTTTTAATTTTTTTGTATTACTTAAAAATATATTGTATTTATTGAATATAAAAGTATGTTTAAGTATCTGGATAACAAAGAACTATTTAACCTACCAGTTACAACCTCTTTGGTGTACTCACTTGGCCATGATTAGGTTTGTGGTTCGGCCAAATAACAAGCGCTACAGCGACCTCTCAGCAGTATCATAGCAACAAATGAAAACAAATCAGCGCACGTTAACACAAGCTCTGACGCCCTATAACAAAACAATAATTCGTTTTTAAGCTATCGTACGTAAGCCCAACGTTAGTTAAAACAGAAAAAGAGGGATATTTTTGAGACTAACATGCGTAGAAATTTAGCTAAGGAGTTGAAACCACGATATATTCCAGGACCAGACTATGATAGTTCTATTCCTTATGGCGGGAAAGTGTATCTAGCCCGTCGCAAAAAACCAGACAGTTGGATCATTATAGCTTTGGAGGTAAGTTTGGAATATTAGGTTAAGTTGTATTAGACGTATAATATGCTTAATTATTTTTAAATCTACGTTGGACTTAAATTTGTTAACTGCGTATGGCAAGGATACGATGACCAAGCAATAAAATCGTTAACATTACGCACATTTAACAGATCAATATTACTATTTTAATTTAAAAACAAAGATGAACTTAAACAGTTCTGTTTGTTTGTTTTGGATATTGGCGAGAAGCGACACAAAGGGATATCTGCGCATCGAAGTCCCTAATTTTGAACTGATATATCAGTGAATAGCGCCTACCGCCAACCTTTTGGCTATTCTAAGTCTAATCGAATAGTTGGACCTAGTTTAACTGTCAATATTAAATATTTACTCCATTAAATTCGACCTTTCTAATATCGATCTACTTAATTTATTAAATAAGTTGTATATATAAAGTAATCACCTAATCCAGTAGATGTCATTGTCATCAGTTTTTTCTTTTAATACTTTAGAATTAGGCAGAGAAACACGTTACAGGGGCTATTTTGATCACAACTCCTTTTTCTTCTGAGATATAAGAGGTCCACTAGAGGTCACTGGTGAACAGTGCCGTGTTAAGTTATTAGTGATAAAAACATTAAGGAAATGGGAAAAATCTATTTCTTAAAAACAACTGTTTTATTATTGTTATTCTATTATCCTCGCAACGCGCGGTGGGCCCCTGGGCAACTGCCCCCTTTTGCCCAGTGGATAAAACGGTCCTGGGCACTACTGTTTCAAAATGCCTGTGACTTACTAAATTTAAACAACAACAACAAAAAAACACGCTTAAAATAGTGAAAGTCTATTACTATCAACAAGTTTCATTGAAATAAAAAAATGAGTACGTGCAGGAAATAGATAAGGAAAACTAATGTCCATTATTTTTCAATATCAAATCTTCTTGTAAGTGAATCAGTAACACTTAAGTTACAAAATCCATATAATATAGCTATTATATCATAAAAAGTTCTGAGACTTAACATAAAACAGTTATTCATGCATAACTGTCCCTAATTTTGAATTGAGAAGAGCAGAGGGTAGGAAACACTTGGGATGCTTTTATCTCATCTGACCATCACTATTATAGCACGCATATGGTCAAGAAGTGTTGAGCATAATTTTTGTGGCAACGGAAAATGATTCACAGTCTGGGCATGCTAACCACTAGGCCATACCAGGTTCTTCAGATTACTAATGAAATAAGAATGAATTACCTGCTTTGTTTTAATTAAAATCTGTAAAGGATATATGTAAAAACAATACTTAAAATCCAGTACACTAATTAAAACCAAGTAGAATTTTTCTCATTCAAAGAATTAAAACAAATGGTTTATCTTATAATGTTTTAATTATTACACACTTCTATTTCATAGTCAAAATAATTTGAATATTATTGTTAAACCACATACATTTTTCATGAAAATGTACTAAAACTAATCTTGTCTGTT